TAGCATTATCCCCCAGTGTTTTCTCCCCCAAAGGTGGCAACACAGTAACACAATATTAAAGAAGGGTCAGATTCTGTTCCGTTGAGGGCCACCGCCTTTGTACACGATATACAAGGGGTTGTAGGTGGCGAAATAACGGTAACAGAACACTTTGTGCGACGCAGGGCCAAACGAAAAATGTATGTGACTCGCATTTCGAAGCAAATTCAACACCCGCTTCTCACCACCCGCTTCTGTCAAAAGATAATTTTATCTTTATTTTTGTTATTTCTGCTTGATTTTTATTTTTTAATTTTTGCCAATAGAAAAATTGGCGAAATAAAATCCAGAAAGCTTTCAAATTCGTGAAAGAAATGGTTTTTTTTTGTTGCTTCTCTTTTTTTTTTTATTATCAATGACACAAGCGGCGTGTGTGTCATTCTTGCGTCTGTTCACACGCGGTAGATTTCACGTGCGAGAAAATGTATGCGAGCTTCTCGACTTACTTGCTTGATGCATTCGGCGCGAAATAAAGCAATAAGCAAATAAAATCGTGAATACGCGCACAATGGAAATTCCTGCTTCTTCATCTTCCTGTGTTTCTCACTCTTCTCGTCTTAGTGCAACCCTTCCGCCTCGGCCACCGGGATCATAAAACGTGCGAGCGCAACGCGCTTCGCAAAAGTTTTATTACTCCCATTTTTACGATCCATCCGGTCGACTCTCTCGGCTACTGGTTTGGTTGCGTTGCGTTGCGCGCACATTCTCTGCACATTCTGCGCATTCGTCGGATTATCTGCAAGTTTCGCACGTAGTCCTTGGCCCAGTAACGGTATCGAAGAGCACGATTGCTCTGAGAGAATTAATTGCCTGTCGCTACGTTTGATACTGTGATATAATTTCCTTGTGGGAGAAATCCACATCTGTTCGCGCGCTCGCACGCATATCATGATCGCTACTTGAATTATTACTCAACGACCGGAAATCAATCTCGTTTCTCTCTCGATACAGTCTCCTCTGATGGAAAATCATACAAATGCGAGTTTGATAGAAGATTTCCTTTTACTAAAGAACGTTTAACGGACGTATCGAAGTTTGCGAGTAAGAGAAATGTTTTTTTTTTTTTTTTTTTTTTTTGAAGAATCGGTGAAATTTGAAAATTACGAAATAGAGAAATTCACGGAGAACGACGCGCATAATCAAAGGATTTCGCTTTGTTTTAATTACCGCTGAAATTCGCACATCCTTTTTAAATCGCCATCACAATCGGCGTAAAGACCATAATAAGGACGTGAACGATTTGACCGCGATGTGGACGCGACGGCGGCAACATGCTGGCACTAATTGCGACGGCGCATAATTGCTCGATAAACATCCTGTTAATCTCACTTTTATGCGCCATACATTGTATCGCGGCGGTGCTTGCGGCACGCAAAGCCCCCTTCATTTCCTCCCTTTTTCTCTGTCCCTCCTCCATGGCTCTTTCTCCCTCGCTCGTAACGCGACTTGAGAATACGTCATGATTTTCACTGGCGCGTATACACTGGTGGCGGTGCATCCGTTACCGGCGCCATGTTGCGCCGTGCGCACCTCTATAAAATACATCTCGCCGCATGACAGTGGAAATAACGTTTACCGTCGTGACTTATGGAGAGCGCGTTGCTACGCGAGCGTAAGCGTTTAATTTATACACGAAGAGACTTTTGTCATATGCGCGGCAAACTACGTCGCGCGAGAGAACGCACGCGCGTTCCCTCAAAAAACCTTTAATTGTCTCGCTCGATTTGGAATCGAAAATCCACGGCGATTTCCGTTCTCGTTAAATATAAAAAAATCTATTTTCACACATAAACAAACAACAGTTCTTGTTTGTTTTGTCACGATTAAGTTTCAATTCCGAAAATATTTACTCAGATTCGTAGTCGTCTCACTCAGCGCGAGAATAGAAAAATAATAATGAGTTTTTGTTAATAGTCGCAGATCAAGGGACTGGATCTCGAAAGGATACTTTTTTTTGCAAAAGCGTTTGGACAAAAAATATCATTAACCTGGCGCACAATGTGGAAACACTAAACTCGGCGCGAAGATTCGGTGACATATGCGTCGCGATAAAAAGAGATAAAAAGAAGAATACAGGAAAAAAAACTGTTTCGACAATGGAGACGAAAAGACGCTCGAGTTACTTGAACATCCGGGAGAAAAGTTCTCGGTAACATCTTGAGAAGCAACTTTCCGAAAATGCGAAAAAAGTCTGCCGAGCGAATTTAAACCGCCGCCTACTGCAGGAACAGATCCACTTGAGTGTGCTTGAAGTTTTGTTTGATTGTCACCAAAAGAGCGCGTATTATTGGCGTATGTTTTGCTCACGATGAGCGATGCGTTTCCATTACGAGCAATAAACCGCCACTTTACTCGTCGCGCGACGAAAGAGTCTGCACTGATGAGTTTATTTCAATGTGTAATGTTGCTGTATAATTATATTGATGGGATACTGAGTAATATTGGAAGCGTCTCTATAATTAGATGGCTTTATGGCATAGTGAATAATGTGCGGAACTTGTAACGTTGAATTATTACAGATGAAAAAAAAAAAAGAAAAAAATAGTTTGCTTCTTGCACCGAAGAAAATCATTAGAGCCATATTACGGAGCAAAACGGTAACACGTCACAAAAAATAAAATAGTTAATTGAATGAGATAAAAAAGTTTGTTGTTATTCAATAAATTTTATTGCTCAAAATATTTTTAATTTAATTTTTATTTTTTTGATCTGTTTGTGTATTTTTTACATTTAATTTTTTTTAAATTTAAAATTTCAACCCTTTCTGCTGACAAACACTAAGTCACTTGTACCCTGAGTCAACAAGTAGTTCGCAATTATATTTTTTATAATGAAAAAATTCATGGCAATAATAACAAACAAATGGACGATTCCTGCGACAGAAGGAACAGGCGACGCGGCATAGAATCGTAACTTTCGGTCGGGAACGGAATAAAAAAAACTACTCTGCGCAAAGCCGATCGCGCGATCCCGTTTCTATTTCGCATATTTTGCGTCAAAGTGAGAAAAGAGTGCAAAAGAGTGCGCCACGCATAAACATGCTTGTAAAAACAAGACGCAACATAGATAAACCTTCGTATTCCGGGGGGTTACGTGCTTCGCAGACGAAGGGCGCGCACAGTATCGGGGAAAAAGCGGGATAGATGTTTCGCAATGGTTCTCGAGTTACTTGCGCAAAGGAAGGACCGGGCGGGTGGAAAAGTTCCGCCTAACGTCTTGGAAGTGTCTCAAAAGGAAAACTCCGACGTCGGTCGGGACCCGGGAGCTCTAAGTGTATCACATAGTAAATTTAGTTTTCCAACCTCCGTTTCCAACCGTTCCACCCCTTTCTCTCTTTTTCACTTGCTCTTACTACTACTCGCGTCCATCCCTTTTCTTCGCGAACGAGTCGGAAAGTTGAGCTGCGGTGCCGATGCAGCCGAGGACGTGGGTCCTCGCTCGTTTCCTAAGGGAATGCGCGCGCGCTAGCAATGTTAGCCAACATGGCGCAGACTCCGGGCCCGTTCAAGCGAATCTGGCCGATCAAACGGGGGCTAAGAGCCGCGCTTTCGTCCGGGTTAACTCAATCCACGAGCTTTCTATCTTTCTGATCTCCCCGCCCCTCTTTCTCTCTCTCGTCCGCCGCCTCTCTTCTAGTGCTCTGTTAGTCATGGCTGCATCCCCCTCCTGAGTTCTTCGGCCTTCCTACTCACGATGTTTCTCCCATCCACGACTGTTCCAATCGATGAGCTCGCGACAACGGGTCTTTAGATACTTTCGGAACTTCTAATCCCTCTGGGAGTTAAGTCTCGATGGTTTTCCGATCGTAACTCGTCGAAGGAAGACTGCTCGATTTACTCGCGACGAGACACACCCAGCGTCGCGGGACTATTTTGATGAGAATGAATTTCTCTGACACACATCGCGAAGAGAGAATTCTTTATCCAAAAAACTAAAAACTTACCTGAAATATTTGCAGCGCATGCAGAAAAACAAGTTTTTTTTGGAAAAGGAAATATATTTATTTGTTAAAATAAAAAAAAGTTTCGTTTTTATTCCATCATACACAACATTCACTTTTCTCTAATAAATGTTCAGAATTTTCCGCTTATTACAATGATGCGTAAAACAAAAAAAAATCTATGTTCCTCGCCACTGCATTATCTTTTGATTTTGACAACAAAAACAATGGCAATAATATATAATAGGGTTCGAGAGGGATAAAATAGGCACGTAAGCGTGCGATTCCACGCCGCATGTGAGCGTGACTTGTATCGGGTGTAATTGGTTTTCTCGGAGAATTCCACCCTCTTTCTCCTCGTCTCTTTCGCCGGATACGGTGACGTGCCGGAACCAGGGGGATAATTTGTGGCCGTTTCGACGCGGCTGCGTGGTCCAATCCGCGATACCAACCAATCGGCTGTCGGCTACCCTAGTCGAACTGAGAACAAAAGGATCCCTTCTCTCTCTCCTCTCTCTCTCTCTCTCTCTCTCTCTCTCTCTCTCTTTCTCTCTCTCCTATCCCTTTTCTTTCTCTTTCTCCGATAGAGAAACGGCAATTGCTCTAGGCGACCAACGACAAAAACGACAACAACGGAGTACCAATCCAGTCGTATATACGGCGTTGATTCCATCGAGAGCCGTACGAACCGCACTTTTGATATACAGATACCTACCGCAAGTTTTGTTTGTAAAAACAAATAATGATCGTTGACTTCTTTATAATATTATTTTATAAAATAAATCTAAATTGGCAGATATAGGGAATTAAACACAGGTGTTGGATGCGCGATATGTATCTTTACCGAATGACTTGATAAAAAATTGCAAATTAATGTTTTGACAAGAATTGTATTTGTTTCCGCAATGAGCGTAGAACGACGTAAAAAGATCTTATTTTCTTTCTGTGTGATTGCAACTTTTTCGAGGAGAAAAACCAAGCCAGACGTTGATTATCAAAAGTTTCCTTTTGCAATTTTCAGGTAACAGAGATGATAATTCCAACAACTCGTCCCCGGGTTCCAGGAGCGCTGTGCAGAATAAAAAACAACGCAAAGCCAGAACCGCGTTCACGGATCACCAGTTGCAGACGCTGGAAAAGAGCTTCGAGAGGCAAAAATATCTAAGTGTGCAAGATAGGATGGAATTAGCTTCAAAACTGCAGCTGACCGACACTCAAGTAAAAACCTGGTATCAGAACAGAAGGTAAGTGAAACGGAAAAGATGCGTTACTAATTTCTAAACGAGATGACGCAGCGCTCCATCCATATGCGATTGAAAACGAATCCGTTGAACAATAATTTGTTCAAAATAAAACTCTTGATATAAAAAAATAATAAATAAAAGAAATCCGCAAATATATTGTAAATAATATCGTTGTGATATATATATTTTAATAGTAAAGTATTAAAAAATAATAAAATAAATATTTTAAATTTATTGGAATTGGTGATATAATAATGGATTAATTAATATGATGAGGAGGAAATAAAAAGCACGCACTTTTTCTTATGTGTCATATTCGTCACAGAATAGATTCTGTTTCTAGAACAATTTACAATTAGGCTCGACGACTACGCATTTACATAATGACTAGGTTTGGTTTGAGCGCTCACGCGTCAAACGTCAGTCTTAGTTTTCTCTTATCTTCTTAGTTTTACATTTGCTGGTCTGAACCCGGCACATTATAAAAATAGAGTGGCGCTTAAAGCGCGTGAACGCCCAAATCAAGTCATACGCACACACACACACGCGCGCACACGCACACACATCGTATGAATTATAAGGTTTCTGTACAACTTTTCAGGCTACTCTGATATCTAATATCATCGTCCAGTATTTACGATATTTACAATTTTTCAAAGATTAGATATGTGACTAGATCCTTCTTATCTCCATAATATTTACATTTTTCAAAAACTAGACTATAGTAGATTTTTGTACACAACATTGCAGTTTCTTTTTAAATAATTTGTAAGTGATTTTGCGCTCTGGTTTGTCTTACATGTCGCTTTTACATTTTGCATTTGTTTGCGAATAACATCGTCCTGACTTACGTTCTTATCGCCGGTAACTCGAGGTTCTCCGTGCTCGTCGATTGTAGCAGTTGTTCTCCACAATTGTAGGAAAAAGAGTCAAGGATTTTATCACCAAAAGAAGACTCGGTTTGAGCACTTTTAATAACCGCTAATTGATTCCGTAAAGAAAGGAATTAGACTACTGCCTAGCATCCTTCCTGAAGCATCAGATTATTTGTATTAGTTTATTGTACTTTTAATTATCGTATTTTTATTTGCCGCTTTTTATTTGTTGTAACTTGTTACAAACCTCGTTGAACACAGCCACAACCTCCTTGACGATCTCCTTGGCTTCAGAAACGTTCGTAATTTTCATTTGAATCTCGAAAATTAATTGGAAAGGAGACATATCGATCTTTCTGTAATATTTGCAAAACAAATATTTAAAAAAAATATTACATCGCGAGTTTCAAGCGTTTACACTAATTTTCTTTAATAGAAATAACGCGTACCTGTAATAATAAGAACTCGATGCATCTTCTCTTCTTTTTGTGTAACTCCATGTGGATGCTGATACCTTTATTCGAAATCATTATCACAGAACTTCCAAATTCTGTGACAGCCTGTTCCCCGAACCAGTTGATTACTTCAACAGAGTTGACTGGTGCATATGTGACAAATGCGCGTACAACCGCAGAAATGTGTTTGCGGTTTCTTTTTCTCCGAAGAGAGAACAAAAGTCCAAGGTGATCGATGTGATACATCGGTGAATATCCTTTGCAGATCCTTTTTTTCTCCTGCTTTGTTTTGGCTAAAATACAAATAATGCGATGTTAACTGATCGAATCTTTTCAATTCTTCTTCTTCTCTTCGCGTATCTTCGAAACCATACCTTTTAAATTTTTTTCATGAGAATGCCTCTGTCTCATCAACCGCAAAACTTCCGCCTTCCGCCTCGATCTTTCCACACCTTCTACTTCTATTTCTACCTCGTTCATGAATAAAGAAAGTTTTGGCTTAACTTCTTATTTATTGTCTGTGCAACTTTCGCTAATGACTCGAAACGCGTTTTCTGATTATTTCAGCACGTAATTACATTGGTACATTGTTGTGAGAAATGTTTTATCATTTGCATAATATACAGAGTAATTCATGAGTCATCTTCATCGTTGTAAGAAAATCGCACCAAATCGATCCAACCATTCGTGTGTGTGTGTGTGTGTGTGTGTGATTCGCATTATATAAACAAATGTCTCTACCGACGCCATTTTTAACTCTAATTCCAAACCTGTGAGTCTGTGGCATTCATCTCTCCTCAAAAATCATTAATAACAAATTATATAACCGTTTTGTTTGTTAAATAAACCACGGGATATATCAGCAAACACTCGAAAGAAGATGTTGAAATTTTTGCGCAATTTTTCTAACATTTTAAAATTTTATTAAAAGTACAATGCGTCAGATTTTACTCTTAGACCGTCAAATCGGTTCAGAATCAGAGTTAATTCTTAAAACATCCGCTCTGTTGTCTTACGCAGAAATTATAGTGGCAAAGATATTCTATTCTGTAGTTTGAAGAAAACAAAAATTTTTCCAATTAAATTTTAAACAATATTTAAGTAGCTCCATCTGTTGTAGTTTTTATACGTCATTGGAAGATGGCGAATTGCACAGATCAAGAGGTACTCTAGGAAATTCGCAATGTCCATCTCTGGTACACAAAAAAAGCTGTATCTTTGCTCGGCGCCACATGAAAATCAATAAAAAAAAAAAAAGAAAAAAAACTAGTCTTTAAGGTGCTAAAACCTCTTGTTCTTTGCAAATCGTCCAATTGATCTCTAAACTATAGGTTGTTTAAACCAATACAGTCGGATATACAGAGACTGAATTATTCTAAATTCTCGAATATTTGCACGTTAATAATTTCGTCTTTTTAACAATTTCTTCTTCCAAAAATGAAAAACAAACTAGGCCGCTGCTAAACGAGTTCATCGTTCTTAGTCGTTTTTAGCATCTTAACTTCTATTTTTATACTCGATTGTAATGCTGTCATTGTGTCTCTGTAATATGTTTATTCGACACGTCTATATTGTTAACATCACGCTTATCGCAACAAAAACGATATTATCTGTAAGAAGAGTTTTCGTCAAACTCATCAGGTGTTTTTATCACTAATCAAGCTAAAACTTCAAAATTTAATCAATTTGTTTTAAGTAACGCAGGATTATCAATTTAAATATAAACCGTTGCGCGAATTAAATATAATATCGCTTCTTGTGTCGATTAACACGTGAATCCCCGGAATCATGTTTCCGTAAAAAAATCGATTTTTGACCAAATTATTTCCTCAAGTTAATTTTCATAAGTAAGTAAGTCTTATTGTTATTATCATTTGATTTTGAGATTACATTCTATCGATATCGTTTGTTCCTTCGTTACCGCATGACTATGCATTACACGCAATGATCGCATGCAATATATGTAGCTGTTTTGTTATTGGTGGTTTAAAGAAGAACTTAATTTGCACAATCCGTTGATATAAATTGATTGATTTCTATATAGTTTAAGAAACTCGACATTTTCTCTTCCTTAATTCTCGAAATCTTGAAATCTCGCGCGAGATTTACGTGTTGGATTTTTTGGTTTTCATTTCTGCTTTCAGAACGAAGTGGAAACGACAGGCAATCGTAGGTTTTGAAATTATGGCGGAGAACAACTTCGCCGTGGCCGCGTTCCAGCAGCTGTACGGCAGCGGCGCGACGGCCATTCCCACGCATCCTGCCGCGGGTCGTTATTGGCAATATACAAGCGCGCACACGTTACCTGCAAACGGATTCTTTCCGTATCAGCAAGCATCGGCGGCGGCGACTCTGCAAAAGCCTCTCGCTTATCGTTTGTATCCGCCGACGATGATGCTGGCAGGGCCGAGCAATCCCTTAGGACCATTGACAGCGAGTTCTAGTTTGTCGTCTCTCAGCAACTATTATCGGGACTCGGAGAGTCTCGCTGACGGCCGCGACTCGACCGAGTCGAGTCGAGGAAGGAAGCGAGAAAGGAGTACGAGTCCGGAATCGAGAGACAGATCACCACCAAGAAAGTTGGCGAGGATATACCCGCCGTCGATGATACAGGTGAGTCTCGGCAATTTTGGCAACGTCATGCCCACCATTCCCTCCGCTTCTTATCAACGTAAAACAATTATTCCTGAATTTTTACGACATTATTAAGCTGTTCTTGAAATTCTGATGAAGTGAACTAAAATATCGATATAAAAATAACACGCGGTTTTCAAATCGCGAAAACGTTTAGAAATTCTGATAACACGCACGCGAAATAAAATTAAATATCGGACAAACAATTGTTACCTTTTAAAATTTTCATTCGTCCCCCGGACTGGCTCCACCGGAGAGAATGGAGGGCATTCAGAGAGAATTTTCTCTATTGGAAGACGCAAGATCGTCAGCAAGTTAATCACTCCTCAAAAAAGGTTACGTTTTCGACGATGTTCCAGGGAGGTTCTAGCAACTCCCTCGGTTCGCTCGCAGCCGGCTCGAACCTACCGGACCTGAACAACTATTACACCGGTCCGGAGACCGTAGACGCGCGGGAAGTCATAAACCGAACGCGCCAGCGAGCCAGGAGCCAAAGTCAAGACAGGTCGCCCATACAAAAAGAGGACAGCTCTCAGAGCATAAGAGCTGAAAGCGATGAAGAGAGCATACATGATATCTAGGGTAGGAGATTTTTTACAACGTTAGTGGTGCGTTGAAAAATAATCCACACACCGGCAAATTTTGGTCTTGCAAGGCGATTAGAGGCGAAATGTAGAGTATGACATTAATTCCTTGGGACTGATCGAACTAACAAGATCTCTGTTGCGTTGTACACACACATATATATATATATACATCCGGTATACACATTTATTTCAAGAAAAAAAGACCTTGCACGACTGAACTCAATATTTCCTATATATTTTCTTTAACATATAGAAATAGTACGTGCATGCTTATATGTCATTTAATGTCATTTATATGTGTGGTGTTATATATATACATATATATATATATATATATACCTCCCGTAGTAATAAATAAATTGTACTGTTGTATAACACATAAGAAAAAAAAATCGGTAATCGAGTGTTGTAATTAATTGTATAATAATCTTTTGATCGTTACATAAAATTTGTTTCGATTTAAATTCAAATTATCATTTCTCTTTTTATTACTCTCTAATTAAACGTTCAAAGACTCGCGACACAAAAAAAATCCAAGCAATAATTACGTTAGATCTTATGATGATTCTTGCAAAGAAATCGCGTGAAAAAACAACTAGTTAAAAATAAGAGTAATTATAAGTTTAGTAAATTCTGTACTATATACTGTAGAGTGCTCACAATCCTATGTTTCGAGATCACTCACGATTTGAAAAAAAAAAAAAAGACTTTATTAGCTGCTATTTCTTTCCCTCTCCTATGTCATTTCTATTATTTCTACAAATAAACAAATATTTAAGAATACTATTGTGCGATAAAAAATTACTACAAATATTTTTTCAAACAGTCGCAGATAATTAAAAATATATATATATATGTACAATAGTTCTCTAGTTCGAATGTGTATTAGAACGTTCGTACGACAGCCGTAGTTGTACGGAGAAATCTATAAATGACAGACTGACAGGAATGATAGAAATGATACGAGAGAAAGAAAAAACAATGGCTAATAAAATAAAAAATTAATTGTTCCCCTCAGGACTACAAGCACTCGGTCAACACAACTATCTCAGTATCATGCAACTCTCGTCACGATAGCTCACAGCTTGGCTTGAAGAGAAACTGGTCCATAGAGACAGTCTTTTTTTCCCGACAACACACTGACTAGTGACTATACAAGGGAAGGACTCGCTCATTGAGAGAAATCTACTTTGTACTCAGAATCTGCATGTGTATTCTAGGGCATAGGGTTAAATCGTATTGTAAAGAAGCGTGTTTGCGTGTGTGTATAGTATGTATAGTGTGTGTATATATAAATAAATAAATAAATATATATATATTATGTACGTATGTATGAATGGATAAATTAAACTAGATGTAAGTAGGTGTAAGTACCAATATTGATAATATCTTGACACATGTCAAAAACGTGAAAATTATACGTGATAATTATTGTAATTTATTTGAATATTATATATATATATATATATTATTAAATGTTACATGTATATATATATACATAAATAATATAGAAATATATATAACACCAATGTACAAATTCAACACTATAGTGAGTTATTTTTTTAACCAATCCCGTTTATACATTGAATCTGTTCCGATTTTTCTATTAGATTCTCGTTACACGACACCTTCAACAGAGAAATTGTAATTCGATCAATTCCTCCCCCCGTAGCTTCGTTGGAAGCCTTGTGCTCTTAGCTTGAGAACGCTGGCCTCAGGAATAAAATTCCTCCCCGCCGGGGGAAGCCCCAAGGTTCTCTTCTGCCGCGTGGTAGAAGTCGGAATTGTTGATCGGTCGCGCTTTTTGATCGATTGGTCTTCATCTTTCCTTCTTTTTTTCGGCGTTACCGAGTGAACCAGAAGAGAGAGGAGCAAGAAGCTGATTCTGCGAGAACCGTCTCCCTAGTTTTCCTTCTCTTTTCAATTTTTCCGCAACAATTTCTTTTGCGAGAGAGACGACAACTTACAAATCTACATCTTCCAAGTCTTTATAATAAATATATTTATTATTATTATCAATTATAATAAATGCCACTATTTTTCTCTTTCGTTTCTTGCTACCGTCAATCGTGCTGCGACAACGAACATTACTGTCAGATTTGAAAAAAATTTCCATATAAAAGATGTGATAAATAATTGAAAACGTTTAGAAATTAATTAGTTTTATTATTGCGGATATATTTTTTTTTCATTTCAAAGATATATCCGTTGTGACGCACCTTGCCTCCACGCGACGTCCGCGATTTGAAACCGAGGAAGAAAAATGGAAGCAGGTCCCTCCGGCAATTAGCTGCTCTATATTTTCGCGGTAAGATTTTCCGAAACTTTTCACATTCAATTTAAGTTGTGGAAAAAAAGAAAACGTACGAAAGAATGAAATTTTGCATTTCAACGAGATGCGCGTACACGGAACCAGCACCGCGCGTTTTTCTCAGGGAAAACAAAAATTGGGCGTTGTGTGGGAACGTGCTCGAAATTGGATGAGAACCACTTGGAAACGGAGATTGTTTTGCTTGGCATCTTTCCTCGGCGCGAACGAGGCAATTGGCGCGGCACTTCGAAATCATGTCTTAACCATATAATTTTTCAGCTCGGGCTGATGGCGGCGCAACTATTTACGCTAATTCTGACACCGACCGAACGCGCGCGTACACACTATATACTTTCTCTTTCACCGCGCATTCGTTCTCAAACGAATTTAGATCGCTATCTCGAACCGTCAGAACGTGGCATCACGCATAAAAGAAGCGGAAGCTTCGGGGCGAGATCCGGGGAAACGATTGCGCGGATTAGACGTGAATCTCGCTGCAGAGTGAGCGGATCTGAAAAGATCTATGCTAAAGAAATCAAATATATTCCGTTGTATCATTTAGATTCTAAGTGAAATCATCGGTTTGCGTTAGTTTCGGATATAAATAATTTTTTCAAGCAGTTTAATTGATTGTCATTGTTGAAAATATTAACACAGAATGTTTGGTTTGCATTTCATATACATAAAATATTCAATTAATCTTTCTATAAAATTTAAAATTTCCATTGTAAAAAAAAACAATCTTGACCGAGAATCGAACCCGGATCTCACGCATTCTCCGTGCAGACATCTTTTCAATTCGACCACCAAGGCGCTAAACTTTAAATTTCACAGGTAGATAAATTGAGTGTCTCACATATGAGATGCAAACCAGAAGCATCTCTCCTGTGTGAATTTTTCCTGAATGAAATTTAATTTGAATCTCAATTACGCGTGCATTAATTTACGCTTAAGAGAAGAAAATAAATACACATTGCAATTCCAATTGTATATATCCGGCACATTGGCTCGTATCGACCTTAACACATAGTTATATATTCTTTGATATTTTTTAACAAGCAAGAGAATAATTAAATAATTATTGTTATTATTTCATCATTGCTTTATTCGACAAACGAGATGCGCATAAATTAATTACGAAAGCGATACAAAGAGCGTGCGTTTACGGAAAAAAAATAAACGAAGAAAAATTGCTGAGCTTAGCAGGTGTGTGTGTGTGTGTGTGTGCACGCTTCGAAAGTCACGGCGAACGCGTTTCATTTCCGCACTTTTGTGCACACACGAGAGAAAGAAAGGCGCGCTGCCACACCGCTTGAATTAACGAACAATTACCTACCGTCACTTTGTGAGATGACTGCGCATCCGTATGCGCTCGGTTCTCGCGAACGTATTGCTCATCGAAACAGCTTTCGACGCACCGTCAGACGCGTAACGATGGTCGGCGTATCAAAAGAAACGTTCGAGTCGGTCGATGAGAAATGAGAACGCGATCAAACGAAAGTAGAACGGTCTTGCAAGGACAATTGAAATTTCGGCTGGCCCTGAGAGAATCGTCAGGGAGGAAAATGATTTCTTCCGTTCAGGACAATTGCCACCATTCTCAAAGTGGATGATGATGACTCGGCCGAGGCGATCGGGGGATCACGACGAGGAGCAAGTTCGGTACGGACGGTCGGGCCGGTGGGAAGCGGATTCTGGGAAATTGAGCGCCGAAATCGGGGGGCCCCCCCGAACACTCGGACGATGATGGATGAAGAATCATTTAGGAAAGAAGAGTGGAACTCGCGCGGGTAGGAGCTATTAATTATGACAAAAGGTACCGCGGCGCGTTCGGCATCGAGCATATAAGCGGCGGGTCCGAAAAGAGGCGAGCGATTAGTTACTTTAACCAAATTATCTCGCGGACAATGGACCCAACAGGTGAGAAGTCTTCTTTTGCTTCGTATTTCTGCTCCGGAAGAGGATCGTTGCCCTCGCGACGACGCGTCGACTATCGGAACAAGACTGCGGATCGTCTTCGCGAAATCTTCGAACACCTCGCTCTTGGGACTTGCCGTGTTCTAACTTCAGAAAAAATTCTCAAATTCCGAATTTTTATACATTTTCCTTATATCGCGTTTTTTAAATATTTAGAAAAAACAATATAATATGAAAGTGCATAATTTGATTTTATGTCCTCAAATAATTTGCAAAATCTCAGCTTTATTGATACATCATGTTTCCGATCGTATTACGTTCTCTTACAATCTTATGAAAACAAATTTACTTCGATGTGTACGTGTTAATGTGTGCGTGTGTGTATGTATGTGTCCCTTCTCTCCTCCATCTCTTAGCTTCCGAAAATCAATTACCCGTACCGTATTTCCCGCGTCCATCGACCATCTAGCCATTTTCACGAGGCGCACAATGCCCGGCCGATGCGCAATTACGTCAATTACACCAAACTCAGTAGCTAAATTGGATGTGCGACACACACGTACGCGAGACAGACGGAGTAACGGCCGGTTATCCAATATTCAGGACGCCGTGACGACGCGATGGTTTCAGGTCGTCGTTTCCATTGTGCCCCGAGTGGACAAGATGATCGTTGTTCATTTGTTTCCTGGCGGGGCGCGTCTGGCAGCAACGCGCGCCGACATCAGCGCAGCAACGCAACGGCACCGACACGGCAGCAACAACAACGCGACGTTATACGGCGGTGCGTCTGCAGCAGCAGCGGCCGACAAGACTGCCTGTAATTTTGTACGTCAGCGCCGAATATTAATTCGAATTCTTGTCTCGGCCTCTCTCTCTCTCTCTCTTTCTCTTTTCTCTCTGGTCTGCCGTGACCAGACAAGGTAAGTAGAAGAGCCACGGAAGGTGAGGAAGGGTGGCGGCGACGAGAAGGCGGGAGGGGCGGTTTTTGTCCGGTAAAT